GCCTAGTTCTAGCCATATCACCTGCTCCGGTCAGGCCGGGTGGTGAGGGGCCTAACACCAAGAGGGTTCCAAATGGAAAAGGCTAAAAATCGGGCTTTTTTTGGCAGTGGCCCCTTGCCTCTGGAACAACTTACCTGCAGAGATCTGCCTGCTTCCCTTGCTGAGAGCCTTCAAGACCAATCTGAAGGCATGGCTATACAGGCAGGCTTTCCCTACAGTCATTACCTAGCCTATTTCTTTTCTTTCTCTCTCTCTCTTTTTCCATCTTGGACTCTGCGATTAATTCATATTTTACCTTTAGTTTATTTTTTATGCTTTATGTAACCCGCCCAGAGTAAACATGTTCTCAATGGGTGGTATGTAAGTTAAATAAATAAATAAATTTAAAGTCCTGATCATTCTCCAGTTCTCTTTGCTGCTTTTAGTACGATTCCAGACATGGGTTTTTTTCTACATGTTTTGCTAGGCATTGGTTAATTCTATCATATCTGCCCTAAAATTAGTGTCAATGAGTGACTGATAAGATAAGAGATACTATGGAATTAAAGAAATTGCTACCTGAAAATAGTGGCTGAAATCTGATCATGAGTTGCAACTGGGTGGCATATAAGTTAAATAAATAATAAACTAGACTAGGCCCATTACTACTGGACTTTAGCCAGCTAGACACGGTAAACAGCCAGTGAAAACTGGTATTATGTTAAGTAGGATAGAAAGAGGAAGATCATGTCTCTGTTAGATGTTGTTATGGAGATCTATCCTATTTAACAAGCACAGAAATGGTCATTAAAACTGAATTCCTGATTCTGGAGACCACTAGTCTCTCACGGATAACTAAAATATTTGCAATGAGGAAATTAAGTATACGTCTTGAGCAGGATGGTTTATTATTAGCCCGCAAAGAAGTAAAGAAAAATATACTATTGATTAAAACCTACACCTTTTTTTCTTTGATCATAATAAATCTGACAGTTAAGAATAGAATTACTTCCACATGCATGTGAATAAGGAGGGAATATTTTTAAGGGCTTTTGATGTCAATTTTTCTAGTTTCGTAGCCTTAGCTGTTGAGGGCGGAATATAAACTGATATATGTATGTGTTAGTAATGTTTGATGACTTATTACTGGAATTTGGAATGATAATAGCAAGTTGGAATTCATCTCCTGAAAAACCCCACTGAAGCTGAAGAAAAAAAGTTATGCAATGGCAGGAAAAATAATAGAAAAGATTGCCTTTCCAAGACTAAGTAACCGCTTCAGAGGTGATAAATTGACTTTATTTCTTTGCTTTAAATGCATGTACATTTCAATTGGATGTTGTTGTTTAGTCGTTAAGTTGTGTCCAACTCTTCATGACCCCCATGGATCAGAGCATGCCAGGCCCTCAGGTCTTCCACTGCTTCCCGGAGTTGGGTCAAATTCATGTTGGTAGCTTCAGTGACACTGTCCAACCATCTCATCCTCTGTCGTCCCCTTCTTTCTCCTCTTGCCTTCACACTTTCCCAACATCAGGGTCTTTTCCAGGGAGTCTTCTCTTCTCATGAGATTTCCAAAGTAGTGGTGCCTCAGTTTCAGGATCTGTCCTTCCAGTGAGCACTCAGGGTTGATTTCCTTCAAAATGGGTAGGTTTGTTCTCTTTGCAGTCCAGGGGACTCTCAAGAGTCTCCTCCAGACTCCTTCAATTGGATAGTGCAGAGCAAAACAAGAAAGTTTTTTCATTTCTCTTATTATGTGGAATACGTTGATTCTTGTCTCCTTTCTCTGTTTGGACAGATCATTATTATAAAATACTTCTATTTTAATTCTAATTAGAATAGCTTTGTGCCTGTGGTTATCATAATTTGGATTTGTCATGTTTTGGACACTTGACTGACTGCATTCACTGTATGTTTTAGAGGGGAACACTTTAACTGTAGTCAAACTTCTTATGGAATTCTTGCTCTAAATTTTTCCCAGTGTGCCCATTTAGTGGCAAATCTCAAATGCAACTCAGAAGCTGTTTTTGAAACGATATGTGACTACACTTTGACAACTGAGTCCATATTCTGTAAGGCTGCACCTTTTCTTTTTTACTTTGTATCATTTTGCATTGGATACATTGACCTGAGGTGGAGAAACATTATTTCTGTAAAACAAACCATTGGCTGAAATCTTGTTGCTTGACTTGGTAAGTCATAGCTGATTGAATCAGTGGAACATAGAGCTGGGTTTACTCACCAAATCCACACTGATTCATTGGCCTTCTCTATTTGTGACTTACTACACCAAACAATAGGATTTCAGCCATTGTTTCATCAAATCCATGTAGTAAACATGTATAATGAAGAAGCTGAAATGTATGTAGTACCTTTTGCCTGTGTTTCCTTTGCCTGTAGTAAGAAAATCTTTTAGTGAAAGAATGTCATTCAATTATTTCTTAGTCAAATTTGTCTCAGTCAGAAGTTGAATTAAGAGATTTGATTAAAAATGGCTGTGAAGTTTTGGAAGTGCTCAAGCAACCTCAATAGAATAGTACTTTCTTCTTGGAAATAGATAGGTATGGAGATATGAAGGGGGTCAATTCTGGCATTATTTTCTTTCCGCCAAAGGATAAACCACTTTACCAAGCAGAGAACTTGGATTGTAGAGAGAAAATATTGGATGAAATGTTTTCTCCTTTAGGATTAGTGAAATATTTTTAAGCTAAGGTTTTACTCACTAAAGACAAGGAACTATATAGCATGTAACCCTACAGAATTAGAGAATAATAATTACTCTGCATAAGGTGGATGGTGATTTTTCAGAAATTAGACATACCTGGTTTCTCCAAAAGGTCCTGAGGCTCCCATTTAATTTCTTTCAGCATTGAGAAGCTGTAGGGTAGGAGGGGGAAGTCTTCAGTTATTGAAAGTCAAGGTATAACTTTACTGGTAACAGTGGTTTTCAGTAAGGAAAGGCTTCCCTCCCATCGCACAGCTGCGATGACTCCCCAGTGATGAAAGGAGTATACATGGGAGCTTTGGGACCTTCAGGAGAGAAGTCCAATTTTGTTTAAAGGTTGCTGTTTATATTGATGTAATTATTCTTGGGTTGTATAAGTTGTAGCAACAGGCTTGAAGCCTCTCTTTTGTTTATTACAAAATTCTTTGCTCCAATTTTCATGCTTTTGACATCACAGAAAGTCAAATATAGCCATTTTTATGTAGCATAGAATATAGCACTTCACAGTTTTCTTTAGTGCAGGGTACAAGCACAATTTTAATTGTATGAGAATAAAGCTTTTATATCTTTAAATTTCATAAGTATACCCATAGTACACTTTATATGCATAGCTACCTAAGGGAGTGACTACCTTGGGCATTTATGTTGCAGTTTACTTTGGATTGGGTACAGATAAATTCAAAGTAAAGCCCAGTAATGACATGATGTAAAACTCAATGTGGGGAAGCTCCTTGTGCAGTTGCCTTTTTCAGCAGGGAATCATCTTTTTTTGTTCAGTCACCAGGGGTGATTTAATTTATTTTAATCAATTTGACATCACTTTTCTCATCTTTCTACCGGTGTGATTGCCTGATCTGAAGGCAAATGGACACTTACTGGGGGCGGGGGCGGGCTGATGGCTGCAGCTTATGCATAACTTGAAATTGTACCGGATCACAGAGTAAATAGTAAATGTGGTGGTACAAGGAAAGAAAGGAAAGAAGCATATATTTTCATTTCATTGTGGTTCATAACTTTGACAGTTTACTGGATATGCCAAAGAGATGCTCAGGTCATCTGTTTCGTATTTCATACTTAGAGTTAGTAGTTTTTTGTAGTATACAAAACAATCTACTAATTGCATTGGTCTGTTGCATTGTAGTCTACAAAAATCCTCTTTGCATTAAAAGTTACTTTGACTTTGAAAGTCATAGAATATCACGACTCAAGATTAATTTTTTTCGAAAGAAGAAATTTCATCAAATACCTTCTCTGCATTTAAGAACAGACCACTTGATCCAAATTTAATCATACTTGGAGAAGATCTATTGAAATCAGTTAGTATTCTTATAACTGACTTAAACCTAATTGATTTCAGAATTTGATGAAATCTGTATCCAGCCCGGCCTATAGAATGGTCCTTTAAAAACAAACACTTAAGTGCTTGCTGACTTCTTCAAACTAGAATGAAATTGAACGGGTTGCTAGAGAGTATAATAGATAGATGAGAGGATACTACATTATACAGTCACTTTATGCAGAAAATAGCTTCAGCTTAAATATTGCAAGTAGTAAAAATTGGTAGGGTTAGCTTTTCCAAGGAGAAAAATATTGTAAATATAAGTTATAGTAAAGCCTACATCCAATTGCTAGTCCCAGCTAGAAAAGACCCACTGGATTGCTTGCTGAGTAGCAAACCAACACCTGCATAAATCCCATTGACTCAATGGGTTGTCTTCAGTAGAAATTTCTGTTACATACCAACATGTAGCATGCAGTTTAGGCTGACTCTAATAGAGTTTTCAAAGTGTGTGAGTTATTTATGGAGTAGTTTTACCATTGCTACCAATGAGTTTCCATGGCTGAACAGGGATTGAAATCCAGGTCTCCTGACTCATAGTCCAACCCTGTGTCCACTGCACCACACTAGCTCTCTATTTGGGACTAGCTGTTGAAATTTGTGACCAGGGATATAAGAAAAAATTGTACAGTATTCTCTTATGTATTTATTTTCCATATTCTCACACTTCTGGACATTGGAAGTACTTCTTTTCCTTGCCAGTATTTAACAATGTAATCCTGATTTCAGACACATGTTGCAGATGACTTTACTGTGAATGAGCAAGTGAATATTTCTTTGAATGGCCTGGGATTGTAAAAAAACCAGAGACTGCCAGAAGCTGTGGGGGCTGTTGCTTGTGTCCTGTTCAGAACACAGATGTAGCAACTATTTTATCTCAGTAAAACTAAATTCTGAAAAATTGAGCCCATAGTTACCTCAGCATAATTCACTAGGGTTTTTCTCTTTCTGGATTTACAGAGATATGAAAAATGCTGTAATTGGAAACAACAAACAAAAAGCCAACTTGATTGTTTTGGGAGCAGTTCCAAGGTATGTCCTTTGCTACTCTCATTTTGACTGGTTTTAGAGCAGTTCTCAAGTTAAGCTATTAAGATTCTGGCATGCTGATCGTTAGTGCCCATTCTGTATTCACTACTGAGATTAGTTTATTCAGGTCTTGGTGTAACTTAATTGTGTAGGGATGTTTAGTCTCGAGAGGGTGGGAATGATATGTCTTTCACCCTTAAGAAGATACTTGCCTAGAATGCATTAGAAAAGAAAGATCTTAATACCATGTCCAATACCAGTAGTATTGTTTTCCCACATGGATTTGGATTGCATGCAAAAATGTGGGAAAGGCAAAGGGAGAGTATGGTAAAACAAGAAGAGATTTGTTCTTCGTCTTGTTGTCATTTCTGTTTTGTACTGTACAGTTTAATACCATACATAGGTGACATAAATTTTAATGGTCCTTAATAATTGTAAGGTCTGCTAATTGTGCTGAACCTTTTTTGCAGTTTGTTGAGGATTACTGTATTTTTCCATGCACAAGACACTACTTTTTCCTAAAATCATTACACTAAAAATTGAGGGGTGTGTTTTACACAGAAGTAAGCTGTAAACAGGCTTCCTTCAGTCACAAGTGTTAGCTGCTTCCAATCATGAGGCTTAGCTTCCTACAGTCAGGAGCCTTATGGAATTGATGTCAGCTGATGCTGAACAAACCAATTAGAACCTCGTTGGAAGTGGAGCCTGTAGGCTCAGATTCAACAGGGACGCCTAATGTCTGAGTGTTCTGAATCCTCAAAGGGGCTGAATCCTCAAAGGGGCTGAATCCTCAAAGCTATGTTTTTTTTAATTTTTGGATTAGAAAAGTTGGGGGGAGTCTTACAAATGGGGGTGTCTTATAAACGGAAAAATACGGTAAATATCCTTCTTCGGTTGTGTACTGGAAGACCATAAAAATGAACTGATTTAGTTACACACACACAAAAAGAAAACACACATTTGGTTGTTGTATAACACAGCGGTCCCCAACCTTTTTTGGAATCGTGGACTGGCTGAGCCTCTGAGGAAGGCAGGGCATAGTTATGCTTGTAGCACCATAGGTGTTGTATTGTGATGTAGGATCTATATGAAAGCAATGTCCCAAGATGGAGAGTCCAAGCTTGTTATGACAGCTTCAGCTATCACACAATACAGGATGAATGGTCAAAATCTGGTGAATTTAACAAAAGTTGTAACAGTTCTGAAAGGAAATAAAGCTTTAATTTTGTGCTAAATTATGAAATTCTGTTGGCTGTAATAGCTATACTTTGAGAATATTTAAAGGTATCATTACTGGCCATGGTCAGATATTGATGTGGAATTTATTGACCTCATCATTTAAGTGAAGGCATACCAAGATACCCACTATAAACAAGTAACTGCTTAGTCAAAATAATGGCAAGTTAATAAAACATGTAAAAATAAAATATAGGAAAAAAAAATAAAAACATTTAACAGTTTCCAGTGTATTTTGGAATGATGAATAAAAGTAACTTGACTATTTATGAATGTGGCATGAAGGAAGAGATAATAATATGTAAGAGCTTATTAGTGATTAGCTATTCCTGTGTTATGTAGTACTGTATCTTTATGTTGATTGCATCACAGTAGGATGAATTGATAGCACTTAATTGCATTAGACACTTTAAAGGAAAATGACTAAATAAATTAAATACTTTTAAAATATGTTAACATTTTAAGTATGCAAAGAAATCAGTGCTCAAAGTACTATTTTATTTTTGTTGCATTTTGTATAAATATGACACCAGATTTATTGAAAAGTAATTACACCATACAGAAAATATATCCTCATTTCCCTTAAGCTTTATTTTGTGGATCTATTCTTCAGTCTCTGCTTTTTGTTACTGAAGACCGCGTCTGTAACAAGTGATAGAGTCTATGCATTGTACAATACAGTACAGTAGGACTACTGGATCAATATCTGCTGATTCACTTATCCATTATCTGAAAATATTAAATAATTAAATGACCTCCAAATACAGATTTCAAGATGTAATTATGAAACTGGCCTCTAGATGGAACCAAACACTATGTTATATAGGTAAGCCACTGCCATTTCACCTGGTCTCTTGGCAGCCTGAATCAGCTTCCCTCCAGAGTAGCATGTTGTTGTAAAACTCACAGATTGGCTGGTGATGCTGACTTAAGCCAAACTGCCTCCTGGGAGAGGTTTCCCACCTCCCACCCTTCCTGCCTTCTAGCTCCAGGGTAAACAAGGAAATGGATTCTTCATTGTCTTTGAAGAAAACCTGCAGCCATTGAGAGAGAGAGAGTGTGTGTGTGTGTTCTGGGTCCAACAGACTGTGTTAGCTATATTCCACACTAGAGATGGGGCTATCCATATTTGTAAATGAATATGAATATCCCCGTCCCTACTGCACCTAATGCAGCCCCTGCTCCTGGGACTGGCCTGTCCACTCACCTGTCCTGGCGCCACAGTCCTTCTCTTTCCGCCAGTTGCTGCAGTACCTCTGCTGTCTCCCTGCTTGACTGGCCACTCAGCAGCCATGCAGGGAGACTCATCCGCTCGCCCCCTGGCTGGACGGGCCAGCCGAGCAGAGAATTAGCAGAACTGCTGCAGCAGTTGGCAATAGGAAAGGAACCAGCCCAGGGGTGCAATGGCGACCATTATTGGTTTAGCCCAATGGGGGGGATTGGAGGACCAGTAAGTATTTATTTGCTAATACCGCCCATATGGGGGAAAATAAACCCAGCATTTAACCCTTACAGTGAAGGAGCAGTTGTTTTTTTCTAAACTAAATCCTCAGCATTTGGGTTTTAATTACAGTATTGGCACTTTGAAATACAGTAAATACAGTGGACCCTCGACTTACAGACGGCTTGACTTACAGACTTTTCGAGTTACAGACTTCTCTGGCCGCTAAATTTAGGTTCGTCTTGCAGCCGGAGAATTGACCTACAGACCAGAAAAAAACCAAAATGGAACAAAAACGGCCAGTTATGGGATTAATCAGTTTTCAATGCATTGTAGGTCAATGGAAACTCGACCCACAGACGTTTCGACCTGCAGCCGCCGTTCCAATATGGATTAATTCCGTAAGTAGAGGGTCCACTGTAAATTGATTTTGTGTTGCAGTTTGGCCACTCAGGCTCAAAAAGGTTCACCATCACTGGCCTAGTGGCACATTGGCACAGTCAAAAAGTCCACCCCCACTGAGGCAAACAAAACAGTTCCCAGAACTCCTACCAAAAATATACTTATAACGAACTACAAATTAACCAAATAATAATTCTAAAAAATTAATCAAACTAGGAAAGTATTCCTCACATAGGGAAAACTAAGCATGCAAATGAAGGCAAAAAATATAATCAAATTTCCTTCCAACCATAACTGTTAGAATATAAGATTTCTTCAAACACCACTTGATGCCTTGTCCTGTTTTCTTTGAGGCCAGCAGGTAGTCCAGGTAGCAGCAAAAATAACCCAAGCAGGAGGTAATCATAAGGGGACAAAAAAAAAAGAATAATCCCAAGGAGGCATACAGGTGTGGGCAGAGTTTCTGGAAGCAGCAAAAATATTCCAAACAAATAAAGAAAATCTTCTCAAAAATCAAGAAAAGAGTGCAAAAGGAAAAGGATTCAAGTTGGAAGCATGTCAGGCAGACTGAGGGCACCAGGAATTCAGCACAAGGAATGACTCACCGTTCAGCGAAGATCCTCCATAGGGGCGGCCATTTTTGCCGCCTCGGTAAGCGAAGAATCCCTCCAGAAAACGGGACAGGCCCGCCACCCCCCCTCGCGCCACC